ACACCAGTAGACCGTCGGATTCAGACCTGTCAGCAGAGGAGGACCGCGAGGCGTATCGGCGTGAAGCCGAGCGCCAGGCACAGCTGCAGCTCGACAGAGCTAAGGTAGGTGGCAGCAAAAACACCGACATACGGCGTTAGCACAAACACGAAGAAAATCAAATTAAAATGTAAAAAAACACATTTTTAATATTGTCATGTGACCTGGTATCAAATGATCCACAGTACAGTACTGGGCCTCGACCCGGAGGTTGGAGGTCATCACTGTTGGCCATAGATTTGACCTTCCTGACCTCCTGTAGATATGAGACGTTAAAGTAGTAAAGACGACGACTTTGATCTTTGTCCCAAATTTAAATTTTTTGCATGATTTATTTTAGGATTTTTTTAGGTGTTGTCAATTTTTTTTAACCCACTAAAACTGTCTAAAAGTTTTGCAGGTAGAGATGAAGAGCGATTATTCTTCTGTCATCCGTATTTGAAACCGACATTTGATCCGTTGTTTTCGTCCTGTTCGTCCTCAGTCCAAGCCTGTGGCGTTCGCAGTGAAGACCAACGTGAGTTACTGCGGAGCTCTGGACGAGGACTGTCCTGTCCAAGGAGCCGCCGTCAATTTTGATGCCAAAGACTTCCTACACATCAAAGAAGTGAGTGCTGACCTGTAACACACACACACACACACACCGTCACCAGGTGGCGTAACGTTCCACTGTGACGTTAACAGAAGTACAACAATGACTGGTGGATCGGTCGGCTCGTCAAAGAGGGAGCAGACATCACCTTCATCCCCAGCCCCCTGCGCCTGGAGGCCATGAGGCTCAAACAGGAGCAGAAACAGAGGTTCGTTCAAGTTCGTTAAAGTTCGTTAACATTCGTTAAAGTTCGTTAACGTTCGTTAACATTCGTTAAAGTCACTAAACTGACGACGTTTCATGATCGTCGTCTTCCTGCAGGAAAACAGGAGGGAACTCCTCCAGTTTGGGGGACATGGTGACAGGGGGTTGGAGGACCACACCACCATCTGCAGGTGAATGTGAGTATTACACACCAGCGACCCCTGTAGGGGGAACATACAGTATAAACTTTAACATTTCTTCCCACGTTTATTGTTACTTTCTTGTCTTAACAAGCCAAACAGAAGCAGAAGCAGGTGAGTTTAAAGGAAAGAAACTTAGACATACAGTATAAGAAGTAAAAAAAATAAAATAAAAATCCAAATATTTAAGGTCGTCTTAAGATTTTTTTTGTGGAAATCATGTTCAAACTTGATGAGATTCAGTTTAATTTCTTTCTTTTTCATTGTTTTTCCTGTCCCTCCTGCAGGAGCACGTCCCTCCCTATGACGTGGTTCCCTCCATGAGGCCGGTGGTCCTGGTTGGACCATCACTGAAGGGTTATGAGGTGAGAAATACTGCCACCATCTGGACTCCTGAACAGATGTGATTTTGTCGTCTTTAATGTTTTTTTTGTTGTTTTTTTTACCTGTCAGGTGACAGACATGATGCAGAAAGCCCTTTTCGACTTCCTCAAACACAGATTTGAAGGAAGGTGAGTCAAACTGAGGGGCGAGGCACTAACTGCAGTACGGCAGACATGTCCCACTGAAGTCTCGCTGAATATTTTTGGACCTGTGTGTTTTGGACTTTTCAGGATCTCAATCACCCGCGTTACTGCCGACCTGTCGTTAGCCAAGAGATCTGTCCTCAACAAGAGACCCATAATGGAGAGATCCAACACCCGCTCCAGCCTCGGTAATACATCGTTTCACCACAGGTGGCGCTGTTCTCATCTCTAACTAAGATTTACATTGTAGTTTTTTTTATCAGTTATTATTTTTATACTTAAGGGAGTCAGTGTTGTTAATACCATGGTCGTACCATGACACTACACACTCTAGTACAGTAGGTGGCAGTATGCACATAAAAATCCACTATTAAACCCAGACGTCAGGTCTCTACGTCGGCTAAGAGACATTCAGGTGTTGGAACAGAATGTGGGAAGAACTGGTTCCACAGACACCGACAGAGTTCCTGTAAAGACAGGAACTTCTTCCACTTCCTGTTTTTTTTTTATATATTGATGATGTCACTAAGACCAGACTGAGGAACCTTGGAGCAACAGGATTAAGAAGATAGTCTATAACTGAATCAGTACACTTGTGACGTTGACCTCTTGACCTTACACACCCGTGTCACACCTGCACAGCCGAGGTCCAGAGTGAGATCGAGAGGATATTTGAGCTCGCCAAAACGCTGCAGCTGGTGGTTCTGGACGCCGACACCATCAACCATCCCGCACAGCTCGCCAAAACCTCCCTCGCACCCATCATCGTCTACGTTAAAGTTACCTCCCCTAAGGTAAGACAGCGCCCCCTGCTCACGTGATCAGTATGGCGGCTCAGATCATGGTTTTTTGGGGGTTTTTTTTCTTGTAACAGCGTTTGAACTCTTCCTCCCTCAGGTGCTCCAGAGGTTGGTCAAGTCCAGGGGCAAGTCTCAGAGCAAACACCTAAACGTCCAGCTGATGGCAGCAGACAAACTCTCTCAGTGTCCCCCGGTGAGTGGTGGGGGTGGGGGTGGGTGTTGTCCTCTGAAGCAGAGGGCTACAGAACGTTGTTCTGGAAATCAAACACTAAAACAAAAAACTTCACTGACCCTGAATCCTGTCGTTCATTTCTCCTTTCATATTTATTTTTCGTCCACTCGTCTCCTCTGCGTCTCCAGGACATGTTCGATGTCATTTTGGACGAGAACCAGCTGGAGGACGCCTGCGAGCACTTGGCTGAATACCTGGAGATCTACTGGCGTGCCACCCACCTCCCAGGGAACACCCCTCTCAACCCCTTACTGGAGCAGAGTCTGATGACCCCGCCCTCCGCCATCTCCAGCCTACAGGTGAGTGTCCGTCGGGCAGGTGCGTCGGCGCGTCCCGGGGCGGCGGCTCGTCCATCTCAGACTGTCCCTCCTGTCCTGTTGTTGATCTGTCTCAGCTTGTCCTCTGTGTGTGTGTCCTCTCACTCATCGCTGCTTAACATTTTTGCAGTTTTCTGAAACACAGGAATTAATTGAATGATGGCTTACCAAACGGGGTGAGTAGTAGGGTTTGAATCTATTTGCACCCCCCCTCCCGTCCCTCACCCCCGTCCCTCACCCCGTCCCCCGTCCCCTCGAGCTTTCACACACACCTGAACACGACTTAGCGGCTGAGACGGCGAATGAAACGCACTTTATT